GTGACGGCAGTAAGGTGTTTCCTTCAGACAACCAGCATGACAGCGATGCTGCCTTCAAACAAGGAGGGGTGGGGTTAGAAAAGGTCGACCCAAAAAAAACACACCTCGCATTATCCCACGGATATCCATCTCCGGCGGTAAGGTTTTTTGAAGAACGGAGCTAACACAAAAACTACCCACAAAAAGGTCGTGTGTGACCGACCTCAAGCAGTTGTCCCTTGGGCACTGCGGTCACGCTCTCAGGTCATTAAGACCACTTCTAACCCAATTTCATTTTCAGGTACCCCCAGAAGAACCCTTCCACGGTGTGGGCAACCGGGAAGTGATAACCGCCCTCATACCTCTAACAGCACTCAAGACCACTGTATTCATAATCAATCTCCTTCTTCAATTCCTACTATTCCTTCTACCTTAATTTTCAACACTAAACTTCCTCTCTCGGTTTCCTCCTCAATTGTCACCATGGCCAACGATTCTAGTGCGCGAAACGCTGTCCCAGGTCTACTAAAACTTCGCTCCAAACTACACATTGGAGCCTTCAACGTACGTACCCTATGCCAAATCGGTCAACAGGCCTCCTTAGCTAAAACCCTAGAATCTCGTACCATTGATGTATGCTGTGTCTACGAAACACGCATACAGGATCCCAGTGTGGTCATTCACTTGACCTCACCTCGCCAAAATGGACAGCCAACGAAATACACCCTCCGTGTATCTGGCAACCCGTTGGCTAGTTCTCGTGAACTTGCAGGTGTAGGCATAGCACTAAGTACAAGGGCAGAACAAGCACTACTAGAATGGATCCCCAATAACAGTCGCCTGTGTGCTGTCCGGCTAAATGGCTTTTTAAAAACTCGGAAGGACAGGGACACACGTCGTTGCCTTTTCGTCGTTTCTGCCTACGCTCCCACTGACTGCAGCCATGATGAAGTGAAAGATGACTTTTACAGAAAGCTCTCTGAGCTTCTTCAGAAAGCTAAGCGATCAGACATAGTACTTGTAGCGGGTGACTTTAATGCCCAGGTAGGCAGCTTGAATCAAACAGAAAGACATTTAGGTGGGTGTTTTAGTATTCCTGCTCAACGAACCGATAATGGTGATCATCTGTTGCAACTATGCTCAGACAATCGTTTATTCTTAGCAAGCACTAATTTTAAACATAAGGAGAGACATCGTCTAACATGGCGACCACCTGCACCAAACCGACGATGGACTCAAATCGACCATATTGCCATCAGTTATCGTTGGAGAGGCTCGATAGAAGACTGTTGCTCGCTCTGGAATACATGTCTAGACTCTGATCACGCTTTAATACGAGCGCTCATTTGTTCTCGCCTCATTGGACGCAGGAAAAGTACACTAAGAAGACCCATTAGGATTGAACTGGAGGACGAGAAAGCCAAATGCGAATTCCAGAAACAACTGAGTTCACATCTAGGCAGTTCTGTAAACAAGACTGACACAGATGCTGCTTGGAAAGACATACGAACAGCTGTGGAAACAGCAGTTACATCTATTAGTCATTTAAACCATAGGGCTCCAAAAAACCAATGGATTTCTTCTAAGTCTATTTCACTGATGGATTCGCGAAAACTCATCCCATCAGGCTCTGAACATGACGAAGAGCGTAAAGAAATTAGATCTAGGTTAACTAAAAGTCTAAGGAACGATCGTGAGCAGTGGTGGGCAACGAAAGCAAAAGAGATGGAAAAGGCAGCGGCTGTAGGGAACACCAGGCAACTATTCAGACTAATAAAAGAAACCGGAATTAAGAAGTCAAGTGTAAGTGAGACAATCTCCGAAAAATACGGAACCCTTATCTGCTCTCAACCCAAACGTTTAGAACGATGGGCGGAACACTTTAAGGAGCAGTTTAGCTGGCCTTCAGCTACTGCACAACTACCCACTATTCCTAGGAAACCTGAATGGAACATTGAAGTAGGTCACCCGACCCTACTTGAAGTTCAAAAGGCTATAGGTAATCTGAAACGAGGAAGAGCAGCTGGTCCAGATGGATTGGCTGCAGAGGTCTTTAAATATGGTGGTCCGATTTTAGCGATTAGGTTGACTAATATTCTGGCTAAAATCTGGGAGACGGATGTAATCTCATCCGATCACAATCACTTATTGTCCCAATATATAAATAGGGGTCAAAATCATCCTGCGATAACCATAGAGGGATTAGTCTGACTAACATAGCATCTAAAATACTAGCCTCAATAATTATCGGGCGCCTAACTAAGACTCGTGAACTGCAAACACGAGAAAATCAGGCTGGCTTCAGACCAGGTCGTGGCTGCATCGACCACATATTTACCATTCGTCAAGTTTTAGAGCACAGACACGCTTATCGGCGTCCGACAATGATAGTTTTTCTTGACTTGAAAGCAGCATTTGACTCTGTAGACCGAGAGGTTCTGTGGCAGTGTCTGTCATTGAAAGGTGTACCTGAGAAGTACATAAACCTTGTGAAGGCTCTTTACTCGAACACTAGTAGTCGAGTCAGAGCCTATGGAGTAGTGTCATCTGATTTTGTGACCTTAAGTAGTGTCCGACAAGGCTGTCCACTATCTCCATTTTTGTTTAACTTCATTATAGACCTGTTGCTGTAAATAACACTCTCTTCGACTGAATTCTCAGGAATTGATCTCCTACCAGGAGGTCTACTTATCGACTTAGAATACACAGATGACATAGTCCTGTTTGGTGAAGACGCTGACAAAATGCAGAGTCTTCTGTTGGAACTCAGTAATAATGCCAGGATGTTTGGGATGCGTTTCTCCCCATCCAAATGCAAATTGTTACTCCAGGACTGGCCTGCGTCAACACCCGAACTAAGGATAGGGAGTGAAGTAGTCGAACGCGTCGACAACTTCGCCTATCTTGGAAGTCTGATGATCCCTAATGGGTTGGTGTCTGACAAAATCTCAGCACGGATTCGAAAAGCTCGTTTGGCTTTTGCCAACTTACGTCACCTATGGCGAAGACGAGATATCCGTCTATCAATTAATGGACGAGTATACTGTGCAGCAGTTCGTTCTGTTCTACTTTACGGCTGTGAAACATGGCCATTAGGAGTAGAAGATATTCGTAGGTTACTATTATTTGACCACAGATGCCTTAGAAATATTGCTCGCATCTGCTAGGGATCAACGGGTAAGTAATAGTGAGGTTAGACGCAGGGTATTACGGAACGATGGTAAATCAGCTGATGAGGTGATGAATCTTCATCGACTGAGATGGTTGGGCCATGTGTTACGTATGCCTGAACACCGATTACCACGACGCGCCATGATGACTAGTACTGGGGATTGTTGGAAGAGAGTTAGGGGCGGCCAAATCAAAACATGGCATCAGTGTTTGAAGTCACTATCTTCTAGTCTGAGCCATGTTGGTAGATGCAGACTACCTGGTTGGGGTCCACGTGACTATCGTAACCAATGGTTGGAGACTCTAGGTGACATGGCTCAGAATCGATCACAATGGCGTAGGTGTATACACTCTTTATCTTCCCTTAAACCTTGAGACTAAAATTGCTTCATATCTCTCTTCCTTTCTGTACTATATCCTTATATACAACCTATAATTTATATACTACTACCACCACTAAATTAATTACTTCTATGAATCCAGTGTTCATCTTGTTGTGCTAACGAGGTATGGCAACTTGGACCGATGCATATGTGCCTGGTCCTACGTTGTAGCTGACTGACTTATAACAAATGGATCAGCTCCAAATGAAAACCAAAGACTCCTACAAGTCAGTTAGTCAACTACTACGTACGACCGGGCATATATATGCATCAGTCCATGTTACCGTACATCATTAGCATCAAATCTAAAAGAAAAGATTTACCGTTCTAGAACCAACTACCACAAACTGTTTTATCCGGCTTTGTACGAAAAACTACTAACCATAAACACTGATTTGCCCTAATGCAATGAAAGATGATAGAAAGATCTCATCAACTCTGTAGCCTCTTTAGATCTGAGGAGCAGCTTACAAAAGTTATATAACCCTATTACTTAATCATAGTCTCAAAGAACGAAGCTTACGACTATCCATCGATCAGCCGTAAAGTTCGGTGCTTAACGCGACAAAAGATAAAACGCTGGAACATCTCTATCAGTCTTAGTGCAGCCAATGCAATGGGACTCCATAAGTATACTGAAAGTAAATCTGTTACCATAATTAGTACCTCTCAGAGAAAATGAAAATCAGCTTCCGTGATTTCCGATCCAGCAACTAAAGGAACTATTTTTGAACATCAGCTACAGAATAAAATCATGTGTTTTTATTTCCACTGTAATCATAGAAAGGAACGTCTTGCGAAGTTCCGGATAAAACAAAAGTTATAGCAGAGGACGAAAACCTTTACGCACCACAATATCCTGATTAACTGGCTAAGGTTTCAGCCAGTTTTCATCAGTGATGCAGTGTACCTCTACTTGCAATAAGGATGCAGATGGAGATAAACAACACCTTGCACAAATACTAATGACTTTGGTCTTCATGTTAATTCAGTGGTCTTGAACATTATTTCAAGATAATTCACTGCTTTCAGGTCAAAACTGAAGGGTTAATAACGGTATGGGATCTAAAACGAAGTTACATAAAAATATACTGATGACGTTTCAGACAGTCCTATGAATGTTTATGTTAAAAAGGCATACAATGAATGGCACTGGTCTAAAGGTAACTTGGATATTTTGGGAAGTACACAGAAAACCACTACTGTGGTCATTGAAGAGTAGCACAGCCTGTCAAACAACGAGTCTCTTAAAAATTTAGACCTTGTTGTACTATCGTACCAAAGATAAAGCGAGAAATTATTTGCGATGCATCGAATATTGAGAAATGATACATCCTTTCTACCCCAAACACGTTGAAATAAATCAGAGGAGATAGGTGTGTTTCAAAGTCAATGATTATAAAACCCGTCACATTGGAAGCGAAACGAAATTTAGGGTGACCATGAAAACACTTCTACAAGACTCACAAGACACGCAACCTACAAATCAGCCACGAACCACAGGAGCAACTTCAAATGTTCAATATCTTCAGTCCTCAGTCTTCAGAAGGTCTATTGACCTACTTTAATCCTTGCAGTTTGTTACACTGTGGAGGTCCTATCTCGTCTTGAATATACCAACAGAAGGTGCTGATATTACGTGTTCTGGTAGAGAATCCCAGTAATTCACTACTCGGTGCAAGAAACGAAACTCCAGACGTAGACGATTTGATCTCGGTTTTTGGACTTTCTTCGAGTGTGCTCTCAAATGATCATCCCTAGACGGGAGGAAAAGATAGGACATGTTAGTACCAAAGTCATCGTCACGATATACTAATATTAGATCACCCCATATTCAGTTTCAGTTTGGAAAGGACAGGAGGCTTGATGGCCTGTGTTAGTCCTGGCAATGATGGTCTCTCAGCTGATCCAACTGCCTTTTGAAGGAGTCGACGGATGGAGCCTCAACCACGTGCTGAGGTAATGAATTCCACTCGTTGATTATTCGATGGGAAAGTCGGTAGTCAGCTGACAAGTAATTCGTTCTGGGCTTGTGAACTTTTTTGGAATGTCCTCGTAGATTTTCTGTTTTGGAAGACAAGAAAAATGAGGGCATATCAGGTGCAAATTTGTCATTAAGCAATTTGAAAACTATAATTAAGTCACCTCTGATTCTTCTATATGACAGCGGGAATAGGTTTAGCTTGGTCAGTCTAGTACCATACGGGAGCTTCGCTATTCCGGGAATCAGCCTAGTTGCTGTTCTCTGAACCCTTTCCAAGAGTTCACTGTCTTTTTTAGGCAGGGGTTAGCTGCTTGTATACAGTACTCAAGTTTAGGGCGTATGAACACTGTATACAAAGTCAAAAACGTTTTAGCGTCAAGATGCCTAAAAGCCCTGCGTATGGACCATAAAGTCCTAAAACCTTTGGCGGCTATTGCACGGCAGTGTGCAGTAGTCTTTAAGTCTTGACTAACGATGACGCCTAAGTCGTTGTGTGCCTGAACAATAGGTAACTCAGTGTTGTTCATCGTGTATGTATCTGTACCCTGATGGCCAATATGCATCACAATACACTTGGAAGTGTTTATCGGCAATTGCCAGGTTTGGGACCATTCAGATAATCTCTCCAGGTCGTTTTGAAGTTCTAAGCTATCGCCCTTGCTTTGTATCGCTCTCCATATCTTGACATCATCAGCACAGAGTAAGACCGATGACGATAGTAGACGAGGGAGATCATTTACGTACAGGAGGAATAACACTGGCCCCAAAACTGTACCCTGGGGGACTCCACTAAGCACAGTTTCCCAGCTAGACAACTTGGAGTTCACGCTTACCCTTTGTTGACGCCCAACTAAGAAGTCTTTTATCCACATCAATAGATTGCCTCCAATCCCGACATTCCTTAGCTTATATAACAGCCGGTTATGCGGAACTTTGTCGAAAGCTTTGCTGAAATCGATGTAAGCTACGTCTATAGGTAATTTTTGGTCCTTAAGAGCGCACCAGCTTTCGCGAGCGACTAATAAGTTTGTGAGACAAGAGTAACCTGTTCTAAAACCATGCTGCTTTTCGGAGAGGATCCGGTTTTCATCGAGATACTTTAACAGTTCCTTCCGAATAATAATAATATTCGACGGTAAGATGACGGAAATAAGTTGAGGTTTCTCAGTCTGTCTTCATAAGATAGGCCAAATAGGTCTTTCACCATTTTTGTCCCGCGGCGTTGGGCTCGTTCCAACATATCCGCCTCATATTTGAAACAAGGACTCGCTGCTTGAATCCCATATTCCAAATATGGCCGTACGAAAGTTGGGTATATTAATCTAAACATTTTCTCATCCAGATACCGGAAAGATCTACAAATAGACCATAATACCCTATAGCCTTTTGCAGCAGCAGCCTTTCAGTAACTGATTGTTTTGAGATCATTACTTAGTATGACTTCTAAGTCTTTATAATTTCTTACTTTGGGCAACACTAGTCCAATATTGTGTAGTAATACGAATCATCGTAGTTATTTAATTGCTTCACTACACTTTTGTTGAGATTTAATTGTTCATTCTTCATCAGTAAGGATAGGAAGTCAATCGGCCTATAATAATCCTTGAAATTGGTGCTACTGTTAGGATCTGATCCCTCTCTAGATGTTTCAAAATGAGATATGGTGTTATGTGTTCTGGTACTGAATTCCCGTAATCCACTACGTGGTGTGAGAAACGGAACTCCGGACGTAAATGATCAGATCTCTGTTTTTTTTAAACTCAGAATGTCATCTCATACGACAGTTCATGGATGGAAGGAATAGATAAGACATATTATTACCGATAACGTCTCTCAATATGCGGTAAGTTAGTATTCGGTCACTCTTTAGTCACCCTTAGATCTGACTTCATTTGGATTGTATGAATGATTGATTTTTACTGAAATACACATGCCGGCTTTCCTCGTGTATAATTACCAACTTATTGAGCGTTAGTGAATAGCGAATTGAAATAATCCAAATACGATAATGGATTCACTCAGTGATCTGAACAGGTAATCAGGGAGATGAAAGAGGAACAGCGATTCTGATTGGAGAAGTCAAATGAACCAACTCGATTTATTCAGGCGTTAATCAATATGTATAGCCAGATAAAAATATGCTACAGGCATGTGATGAGTAGCATAAGAAGTGCACACATTTACGCTCATCTAAAAACAGAGCAAACAAACCAATAAGTGACGAGCTCAAAATGTAGTGAAAGAAAAATGTGTAGACTGTCTTGTTCGGAGCTAGAATAAACGATGTGGGTTTAACACAGCACATGATGTTACACCATCCCCCACAACTCCGTGGCCTGATGTGAGATAACGGAAATAAGTTGAGGCGTCTCAGTCTGTCTTCATAACATAGGCCAGAGAAACCACTCACTGTTTCAGCCTCTCGCCGATGAACTCATTCCATCATATCCGCTCCATACTTGAAGCAAAGACTCGCTGCTTAAATCCCATGTCCTAATTTTGCTAGAATTCACTTATAATAACTACCCATACATCCAATCAACCTGTGAATTTCGGTTATCCTGAAATATTATCTCATCCGACATACTGTGTTTGGGTCTTCGAATCCTAGTGTCATCTGCAAAGAGTAGAACATACGACTTCATTACAGCCAGCAAATCATTTAAATAAAATGCGAAAAGGAAAGGCCCAAGAATTGTACCTTCGGGAACCCTACATTTCGCAGATTTCGAGTTAATAGACCATGGTTTATCCGCACTGATTGTCTTTTATCCAGTTTATGACTCCATCACGGATCCCAGAGCCTTCCAGTTTTAACTCAAGACTCAGATATGAGACATTTTCTCAGACCTTAATTACTTCCTTGCCATGTTGCTTATTTATGCCTGTTACCTATTCTCGAGCATACTCTACGATGACAGCACTCTAAACTTATTCGAGCGACGCCAGGTAGTATATCATCGTCCTTCCTGTTGTTCCACTGATCCTTCCGGTCTCAAACATTGTTGCCCTTGTTTTGGAAGGAGAACCATGCTCGAGACTTCAGAAGCATCTAGGCTTTCATCATGAAGCGTCAGAGGTCTACTAAATAAAGATCCTTCAACTCTCAGCGCGGTTTTAATTTTTCGAATGATTTTTCTGATCAGTGTCTTCCTGGAAGGGCTATATCTTGTTGAATGTGGTTTCTTAACATGTGCCCAACGCTCCTCATTTATCTTAGCTTGGGACCGGCAGTAAGCCGTAAGGGGCTACAGGGGAAGTTTCAAAGGCTTTACTCGGATCTAAGAAAATTGTTTATACCGGAATATTACTATCGTTCTCTGAAGCCCAATCTTCTGCAACGAGCAGATTTGTCAAACATGATATGCCTCCTCTTAAACCATGATTCTTCAATGGCTAAAAGGTTATTACCCTTCTCATGGATTGAAATAGCTTTCCGAATACTCTTTTTCATAAGTTTTATTAACACACTTGTAAGACTAACTATTCGATAGTTACTGATAGAATTTCTTGTTTCCGTCTTATAAACAAGACTGAAATTTGAGGCTTCCCAGTCCCTTGAAAGACTGCCCTGAAGACGCATCAGATAGAATTGCCAACGGTTAAGCGACTACATCCGCCAGTGTTTTTATGATCCTAGGACGGGTATACTCAAGTAGATTATAATTAGTAATAAAAGTTTGATTACGTATACAAGAAAGCGAATCCCCTCTTAGACTATTTTTTTAAAGTGAGTATAAAATAGTGTCTCATAACCTCAAGCACATCCTTTGAACTGGTTGATACTAAGACTGGAAATGTCACTGAATTCTTCAGCCACATTAAAATCAATTTAGGGTAAGATTTCAAAATGCTTACAGATGGTTTAACTATATCCATAGATGTACACTTCCGAACATGTTAGCAAGTTAAAGTGCTTTGGCAAATTGTTTATTTAATGATTCCAAAGTGTTCATTTGCTGGTACTCTTTTATAAATTAAATAACAATGATGTGCTTTCGCCCAGTCGTCAATTCATAAATACATTACAGGTAACACGGAATTCCTCACGCCAGACCATAACCCACTATCGCTTTACATCCATTACTATGAAGAAACATTACAAATTGAATTACATATTTATTTTCAGCAATGACTATAAGTTTGTTTGGAAACTCTGTATCCTCATCATCCTTCATACGTTCTTTGAAATTTTCTTATTAGTGTTTCAAGAGGTGACCATGTCGATGGGATGAGGTTTATTTGGATTATTTTCCAGCAGCCAGTCGGCCAGCCAAAGCTAGGCAATCAGAAAATCAAACACAAGTATTTGTTATCAATAAAAATCATTCAATGTCAAATGTTTAAATTCTCAAGTATCTTATGTACATGAAGGTTGAGGAGACGTTGAGTAATATTAGTCAATTTTTGTGGAATTAACATCTATATCCTGTGGCTTAACAGCGTTAAAATGAATCTCAATTAATAACTGAAATTTTTATTTATTTGGAAGAAATGATCAAAATAGTATAGGGTATCAATCTCAGTTATATGGTAATTGGAAAGCTAATGAAAGAAACCTAGTTGAAAAATGTTCAGAGCGATTTGATATTTCTTTATCATTGGGATATTTTAATTTACAAAATTATAGATGGACGGAAATATTTTACCGAAGTTACATATGAAATTAGTGAACTTTGTGGAGAGCTGTGTTTTTATTTGGCAGCAGAATATGATTTCTCTGAGTCATTGAGATACTCACAAGCGCAAAATCATTATGTAAGTAAGAAGTCGCCCAATATGTCAAAATATAATTACACTGAAACATCGATGCACAGATAAAAGATGTCACCATGCGTCTAAACAAAGTATGGCATCCCAGTAGCTCATTGACTTGCCATTTAACTGAGCTTATAAAACACCATTGAGGTTTGATATTCATATAAAACTTAATAACAGTAAGGTAATCTTATCCGTGAATTGTTTTTGACGACTTGACGGCCTCGTTCATTACATTAATGTCAAAGATCAATGTGATATTATTGAATGCCTAATTTTTAAACAAAAAAGAATTGTGTCATCTATTAATTCTTTACAAGCACTCTTAGTTTTAAACGCGAAATCGTTTTTTACCTACAAAATGAGAGTACCATACCCAATGTAGTTGTGGCAGTCCCGGTTTGCCTTACTTTTCAGATTCAATTTTGCCACTACAAGTACTACAATTATTTTATCCGAACTTTTACTTTAATGATGGTCATTGTTGGAACTAAGGATTTAAATCCTAAGATGTTTAGAGTTCATTAAATAGATACATACTCCATCCTAGTGTTTATTGAGTCTATACCGGAATAAAAGTAAACTTCCAAATCAATGCATTTCAATATTACAAAAACGTTTCGATGATTAATTAAGTCAGTCTAGTAAATCAACGGTAAGAAATTAAAGCTTCCAACAAAGAAGCCCAAGTTCATTTAAAAACGTGAGAATTTTATAAGCCTGTATTTATTACATACTATCATGTGGGTTCGAAAATACCTTCGGAAAAATCAATAAGCACAGACGACAAGAAATATCAACTTACTACTGGATCCTTAGGCTTTTGTTTGCATAGTTCTATCAAGCCTTTTAGTAAAGTTGGGTTTACATTCCGAACTAAATAGTCTTTTGCTGCAAGCCTAACGGAAATCGGTGCAACGACCACTAAATAAATGAGTAATTTCAATAATAAGAACATTACGTTGAGCGAGAAAAAGTACCCACACAATTTCAAAAATATGAAGACTTTGTTTAGACATATATTTTAAGTTTGAATTATTTTGATTAGTCAATCTACCTGTTGTATTCTTGAAAGTACTCTTCCCAAAGCCTTCTGTTTCCATGTTTTAGGTGGTTTAGACCCCGTACGTTCATACAAACTAGCAGTAAAATGATGGTTCCGCACTGAAATCTAGTTCAAAAGTGGGGAGTGAAATCTTCAGGTATGTTGGCTGTATTACATATTTGATTGACTTTATCATCTGAGAAGTACTGACGTAGCTACCAAAGGTAGATTTGACGCCTAGTATCGAGTTTTGTAGACGGCTTTATAAATTTCATTAACTTCAAATAAACTTATCGATACACATGTGCTACAAGAAAAAGTAGATTTTTACTACAAAATTCGGGTTTCACGGGATTTTATTTTATACTGAGAGAACCGTCTTACAGTCTGAGAATCGTGGATCAGTATGTTAGTTAGTCATATAATTCACGCAAATTTTCTATTCAAGATATTTTGAACTTTTATGATGGATAAAAACCAGTACGCATCAATATAGCTTCAGTTTCCTGTTGATAAACTCGGTCAACTTTGACCATTCAAGGCATATTGTCATCAACCCTCCATTGTTTCAAAGCTAGTTTGAGTTATCTTGGCATTCTTATCTTAAACTAAGGTTTTCCTTACAAATGCACAAATGACGTAGCCTGTAACTATTTCTCTTGCTGTAAAAGTGGGTGAACTGTACATAAATTGAAATGTAAACAAAAAGTCAATGGGATTATGTCAATTTTAAGGCAAAATGACGAACTAAAGTTAGCTTTTGAGTGATTCTTTGGCGCCACGTAAGCATAACGTAAAAATAGTTTATATTTAATATCAGGTGCTAGATTTAGCTAGGAAGCTGTTAAAAATCGGAAATCACTGGAGTGGCATTGCATTCTAATCTGGGACTCCTCGTCAGCTTCTTTAGCCGATCTTACCAGGGGTCAAACATAGAGCCTCCAGTTCTCGTCAGAAACGCCCCGACTTCAGACTACTGAACTGCCATCGAGGGATTCATGTTTTCAACCCAAGCCACTCTCCAATATCGAGTGACTATCAATGGTGCTTATCTCATTATCGACAAGGTCCAATTCCATCAGTCATAGATTCTCACTGGATCTCCGAAAATCGCCTCAAAGTTAGTTTCAGTAAGAATATAATTATTAGTAGTATGAAGGGTTTGGTGAGATTTGTGAGAAAGAAATACAAAACTTCATTCAAGCTACTTACTATCTGGGAAGAAGAACCTAATTTCCTTTTCAGCACTTGTAAACGAGTCGCTTGCATGTATTCCATTCTGTTGATCATCTGTACCATAAATAGCTCTTAAACTAGACAAAAAATATTCAATAAGAATGTTCAAGTTTTATGTTAGTAAGTTAACCTTTCAGGTGCGGTCGCCTTAGCTTTAAATGCATTTTGTGGACCAATTAGTTCACGAAGAATAGATATAGCATTTTCTCTAGCTATGACTAATACTTCTATCGGACCACTGCTAATGTAAGCAATTAATGTTGCATAAAATATTTTCCCGTAATGTTCTGCATAGAATTCACTTGCCTGTTCTGGTGTCAAATGAACGCGTCTCTTCTATCAAATGCATTAATTTTAGTTATAAATTCTGGGGAATCGATATTTACCTGTATTATCAAGAATCCTTTTTGTAAGATAAGTTCTTCTATTTTATCTGCATAATTAATAATATCCGGCTTAATAATTAAGAGTGTTCTTTCAATATGAATATATGGAGAATTTTCCCTAGCCATTTCTAAAATTGGGGATATTTTTACTAAGTTCGATGTCGGTTTTCTTGTCGTGTGAAATAAGTCGTGTAACTTGAAGGCCTAAAATGACATTTAGGATAATGTACGGTCTTAATGTTTTAAAATACAAAAGAGGGCAGAACTTTTAGAATACTAAAAAACACACGAAAACAGGATCTAGCTCAATCAATATGTCTTTTTAAAGAAATAAAATGCCAAAATCACTTGGTAGTTCTTTTAAGATATTTGTTCAAACTAAATGCACTGGGCTCCTTCACACACCAATCAGACCAGAAGTATTGACTTGGCAGTCCCTAGTAATCTCCCAGCCTGCATCGCCTGTAGAAGCAGCCGGTGGTTGGCCACATGTAACGCAGGTCCCAACCAACTCGGTTGGTGAATATTCACCAACTCACCAATCAATGCCATATTCACTTGGTATCCTATCCCTAACCTTAACGTCGCTCAATCAGTAGTGCTAAAATACACTAGCGATGCTTCGAAGACACCAATGATCGGGTCCTAGCAACCTACAAATATCGTTTGTTTTTAAGGGGAGCTTCGTAGTCATGAAGAAAGATAAGATGAACTTGTGCATAGCAAACTTATCCTTCGGTTGCCAAACAGACACCTTATCTAAGGCACGAGCGATCCAAGTTACCAAAAGCCAACCTGGCCTTCTGAATTTATTTCGAGATTCTGACAGACAACAACCCAACAGGGCTAATCAGACTTTCAAGATAGATGAAGTTGACGATAAGTTCAACTACTTCACTCCCTATTACTAATTTAGGTGCTGACACACACAGGTCCCGAGATAACGCTTCGTATTTAGATAGAGAGGGGCACATCCCAAATATGCTCTTATTATTGCTAAAGGTGGTCAGTTGGACTTCTATAAACCCAACGGTTTAGAAAGTAATTTGAGAACCTATAAGTCCTTATATGTGTTGTGATGGTTTTTATTTTTGCTGTGCAAGGTAGAGTTTTCGTTTAACTTCAAAATGTTTCAAAACATGATAACCGATTTTCAAGAGAATGACATTTTATCTATCACAACGGTCCATTAACTGGCTGTATGGCTCCTAACACTGCAAAAGGAATGAATCTAGAAAATGGGGAGGAGTCTGTGTTGACACAAACTTTTAGGGATGTAAACTGGAAGTCAGGGTTATGATGAGTCAGTAACTCCAGGATCTAGCAATAATGTTTGTTAAGTCAAGCTACTAAAACCCATAAGCGCAAAGAAAATGGAGGAAACAGTACCAAACGAATCAAAGGTCTAAAGTTGTAGCGAACGCTTCTGGCTAGTTTGTAGGTAAGCCTTATCGAACGCGTTCTTCTGCATACATCGCACCATTGTAACAGTCATTGAACAAAATGCTGAGACCCGAAACAAAGTAATTATTCTAACTGAGGTTTCATTACACATCAAACCGTACTCCATCTTCACTAGAGAATGTAAGCATTGTTTGAGACACGGTGGTTAGAAGGATAACATTATTCATGAGCTTTAACATGAATCCACCATCAAAATAATAGAATACAGTAAAAGGCATGAGAATTTGACGATACCGGGCCGGAAAACTTGAATTATACGTTTAAAAAAAGACAGTAGTTAAGTTTCTCTAGCCTAATTAACATAAAATAGTTCTTAGTATTATAAAACCCTTTTGAATTGTATCGCAATCAGTTATACTATCGAGTCATTTTTTCCAATCTGTTCTAATTCAATAGTTTTAGTTTTAACTGGGATTTACCCAATTCTTCCTGAATTATTATTAGTATCTTCTCACTATATAACTGTTTATCCTTAACCCTTTAATTTATTATTGCTATCAATATTTTAAAGTTTCTATCTGAATATGATATATATTCGCAATATTTTATCTACTTCGTTGATTCAATTACATCTCTGCTATACTGTGCTGGTATGTGTCCACAACACCTCACAACGAAATTCATTTGCCTAAGTGTTTCTAATCCACCTTGTATTTCTGACCTTCAGATACCACAGACTGTAAACAGCTAACGAAAACCTGACCCAACCAAAATTACACACGTGTTAACTAGCTCAAAATCCCGTTCTTCTGTTAAAAATACATTCGTTGGAAATGAAGTTTCTTATTGTACAAGTTTCTTGCCATATAACTGAGAACAATGGTCAGATAAACTAGTTAACACCTCATGTGATAGTGGCTTAGATTAGTTGTTACGTTACATATCTCTTTTTAAAGCTTAATATTTCACCAGGTATGTCATTATCTCCCTACTTTCCCATGTCTCTTATTCTATTTTGTCATTCTATTACTTTCTTTAGTTCTCTTCTTCTTTACTATCTAAAGCAGGAGCGATATTATTCAAACATTATGGAATCCTCTGTTTGAATAAAGCCCATTAGCAACATTGCAGCGGTGTACATATTAACATCTTAGAACGTCACATTAGATCTATCTTACTTGAAAGTATGACGTATCTTCTTTAAAATTCGTTACTTATTGAGCATAAAACATCAATTTGTGGGCTTAATTGATGACAATTTAGCTATTTATGCCTTTGAAAAAAATCGGCTGATATAATATAATATCAACTCACTCACCAGGCACTTCAGTATGAGCCACACTCTAACTGTGAGGGCTGATGATACTACCTGACCGCCAGAACTTAAGTAGGTCAGAAACGTTCTGTAAAAGTTTAACAGTGTTATCGTTAAAACCTCCCCCTATCGTTATGAAACTGTAATTACTAGCTAAAACGGTCTTGCCCAAATATTACTATTGTATATAAGACAATTATGGCATATCAAGGAAGCTCGAAACCGATATGTGACTGTAAACTAAAGAGAATCTAGATATCACGGATACATGTCCTTAAGGTGAAAACATCAGAGACAAACCTGTATGGCCACGAACTTTTTACGGTAATTTATCTTCATCTCAAATGGCAAAGGCCATCGAACTGCCGACTGGCAGTTCGAAGACACTTCTTCTGTTTGTTCCGGCGTATGTTATACAGCCGTAAATGGGTGCCAAATTCACACTCCTTTGGGTTACCACCGAAAGGGATATTCACAAGCGTCGAGTTTGCTAAAGTTCGGGGAGTAAAACTGTTTTTGATGGTCATTATTCACTAAGCTCAGTAGCTTTGGAATTTCAATCATCCATTCTATCTGAAGATCTTGAAAAGATTCACGATATTACATCGAAAAGATTCCTTAATGATGTAAGAGAAAGATCGAATAATTCTTATTCCAGAAGGGGTGGTATGTACGTAACGACCTGAAAATACGACTGCTTTCAGGATTTTCTAACAACAGCGGTTTGTTCTATTAAACACAATAGTAAGTCTCATCTAACGCTTGTACGTATTATCGGTAAATAATTTAAGGGGGACCCAGGACTAACTACTAATTCTTATTCCACTTTAGAATTCAATCGGTGGTTGTGATAGTTTATGGCGACAGCAGAGGCACACGACTGAGATCCTAATGTTGTCAATATTTTTGTAAGTCGTGGTCTAAATTTTCGAATTTAAGTGACTTATTACACACAAATCAACCTCCTCAATTGGCTGAACTACTTTAGAGTTAACTTCCGTGTGAAATTGATAACGAACGCAGATATTTAGGAGAAAAGTAGGTTACTCTTGTTGGGAGCAAAGTTCCGACACAAGACTCATCAAGAGATATATTTAGGCAAAAGTCCCAATCTCCGCGGAACAGATGAAAGAGACAACTTTCTGATGCATTTTCACCAAGAGTTCCATTAACTTTCCCCGAAGGGTGTCCGTCTCGATTTCACTATTGCCGTTCGCCCGACTTGATTTTGGTCAGTAAGCAAAAGTGAGTAGACGTGCAAAACAATATGTCATAAAAAGCCAGTAAAGCCATTTTGTCTTCTGTCCTTAAATCAAAAATATCGTGTGATTCATCGTCTAACAAGCGACAAATGATGATGTCTATCCAATCAAACATTTATGAGAATTTCGGGCGAGACTGTAACCTGCGGACGAACCAATCAGATTTAGGATAACAGGTTTTTGATTTTGGCGCGAAATTCACTCACTTATTTGTCTAAATAGCGTTTTTACATTTTAGCTGATGTCATTTCGTGATTGAAATGATAAATCTAAGCTCTAACCCTTACCATCAACTGTAAATCACCGTTTGTTGTATACATTTATGATAAGCTTTAAGAGTTGGTAATGAAAATGTAAGTGGTTGTAGTATACATATTTGCATGCTTTGTAGGAATAATTCCACGTGCATGCTTATGTGAAATATTTACGTCATCCAATACACATTTTGTACATACTTCTAGATATGATCACTGACTAGAAGCAATGACGTACATTATACTGTGAAGAACGATGCGTAGGACCAAAATAAGAAATAAGCACGAATTACCAAACCAAAATCTAAGGGTTTGTACTGTTCGACACTGAAGAATGCACAAACTAAATCATAAATAACGTTACTAATGAAAAAATCTAGCAATTTCTACAGGTTTGGAAAGGAGATACGATATAAAGTCTACATAATAATTATTTTAACGAATGGATGACAATGTTACAGAGTATTCTGTAGTGATCGCTTATTTCATTACATCAAAATCAGAAAAAATGTGGTAACTGACATCAAACTACCTTCAAGAGATTTTCAAAACTACTGGGGCCGGTGTCATAGAAACCGAAGTTCAATGGACAACATGCTCGTAAGAAGCGAATATGAGTCGAATAGCTATTTTTTACTTCCGCTTTAATGTTAAGGGGTGGTTTTTTATGTTTGGTAGCATCTAGTGAAGATGCTCCACCCACCCAACTGCATTAGTCGTAGTAAATTTGACAGTTTTTGGAGGTCGGTATATTTTGACGGTAGGTGGAAATATGTGTTCCGGAAATGGTGAGGTCACTATTACTGGCATCTTTAATATCACATGCTGGTCATTTGGTTGGTTGCAACAAAAGTTTTTTGATCAAAATGAGAATAACGAACAGACGTAAATAGAAGACGAAACTTACAAAACAAATAAATAGATTGATGAAGACAAGTGAATAATTTGCAATAATGATTAGTGAAACCAGAGAAAATGCTAAAGTAAGAAAGTAACATAATATTAAAAAGGTACTGGGACCAACGAGTGTAATAGTGTAGTGCCGTAGAGGTAAATCTAAATTTTGTCTTTGCATGTAACACGCGTCAATATACGTATGTGTCTATGTATGTGCGTGTGTGTAAGTCTGTATGTATATATGTATATGCGCATGTGTGTATGAATGAACGAACGTAGTTGTTTATTTACATATTCATTTAGCTGTGTATTTGAGCATGTATGTATATATGTGTGGAGGCACGAATGGATAGATGTGTAAGGCTTACTTGATTGCTCACTCCTCTCGAAAAAAATCGGCCGAATGACTCCCAATCACGTCGGTTAGGGGGATGTCATACACGAAACAAACTTACACTACGAAGAATTGAGATCACATCCGAGCATTCAGTTTTTGATAGCCGATTCTTCAAAGGCCACCTCGCAAATTACTTTAATCCCTTCGAGTACAAGCACATTTTATGGGGTAACCTAAACCACCCAGGATGTTCTATACTATGATCCCACCCTTCCTCGTTTTTTTATAGCTGGGGCGAAATAGCTCTACTTGATGAGATCAATCTTCATGCGATTTGCCTTTCGATCATGTAAAATGTTTTGCCTCACGTCTCTACTCTCGTTTCAGGAGATTCCAGACTTTCTTAAGGAGAAAAACTTAAATAATGTTACAGGTTTGAGGGCTTGGCCGGACATGAGCTCCAAGTAATGTTAAGAACAGGTCAGACGTCAATGTGCCTAACTGTCTTTGAAAGGAGTGGGTGATTGTGTAGAATTTAGTTGGGTCTCCCTGATGGTTACCGCTCGCGATCGGCATTAATGTCAGCAAAACGCTTGGGTCAAACTGCGTTGAACCGTTGGAAGAGTGATGGTAAATATAGGTAGGCAATCTGACTCCCCCGTTGAGTGCAGAAGAAATGTCACTGACATATATTAAGGATAAAGACGGGAATAAGGATGACTACTTGAGATACCAAAGACAAGGACTCTTTCTAGCCTCAGAGCCCTCTACTTCCGTCCATAACTTTGTGCTGTGCAAATAATATTTCAACCAATAAAATATTGGTTTTGTGTAAATCTTTTATCAGTGATCATTTTTTTCACATTATATCGGCGACGACCGCATTGAAAATGCCCACAGAGCTGTATGCGCTCCCTTCAGACTCTAGGAATTAAACACGTTTGTCAAACGTTGTGTAGTTGCAATACGATGGTCCAATGACAATTGGCAAAACTGGAGTAAACTTTATAGAATTGTTGAAGTTTTATTAAAGTTTCGCCACTTTGTAACGCTAATTGCACACTACAGGAAATCAGTGGATGTTTATAATGGAGATGTAGGATTTGGAATGAGGTTTGGATAGAAACATTACAATCCATGTCAACCTTTTGGTTCCTTCAACGGAGTGGTAACCGGTTGTTGTTTTACTTCTTTAACCTCCTCTTAAATTTACTTCACCTCACGGAGGTTAATGTAGTGTCCAAGGTAGTAAAATGTAGAGACTCTGAAAACACATTTTGTAGGGTTTATCACCAGACTACAGGACTGAGAAGGTTCAAGTAATGAGTGAAGGTATTGAGGGCATTCATCTAAAAAAACGTCGGCTGTGATAACATCGTCCATATACACGAAATAAAGTTAAATTCTGTACTGTTTGCACCCACAAGTCGCTCAAACGACTAAGATACATTTCTCAATCTAAAAGGCATTCGAAATAATTGGAACAGAAGAACGACGACCGTTTTCATGTGTTTCCGACTGTCACAGAGGATTGATGGTAAGACCTCGATAAATCGTCTGGGAAGTGTAACTTGTGTGTTATTTATGAATTGCTTTGCACATTATTCTGAGCCTGATTTGAATTCCAAATAAAACACGCTCATGTACGTTCGTTGATTTCTTTCTGGCTTGAATTCTGGTCCATACGTGACTACCAGAACACTTCATCATGGCTTTACACTAATATATGTAAATATGTATAATTTGCAACAATGAAGTAATACCCATCGGGTAATTGCTTCACGTCATGATTATATAATTGCACATTTGTTATAAAATAATATCGAGTGGTTGGAAAAAAGAGGATTATAATAATCGAAGTAATTATTCGGAAGTTCAAACAGCTGCTACGTTGCACAGTATACAAAAAGGAGGGACTGACAAAATATCTCGATGAAAGGTCAGTGTTATAGTGGTCATGTAAGAATCAAGGGACGAATATTGGGAATACGTAAAAATATAAGAGTGGAAGAAATTACAAGATAGTTTAGATATTTTTGAAGGAAAGGTTTCCAACAAAGTTCAGCTACAAATTCACTCCTATATCAATGGCTAAGGTAGTGAGAGTGGTTGTATAAACCTATTTGGGATACAAAGGATTGGTTTGTGAACATGGATTCCGATAGCTTTAGCAACATGTAAAAAACGAACTCGTAGACCATAAGGCGAACTCTATGGGACGCGGTAAGTAACCTTAAAAGCTTTATTCAGGTCAACCTATTCACGCGCGTCCACCAAGTGAACGAGAATAGAACACCAAACCACTCTTACCTTTCCTTTGCACTAATAAGACGGATGGTGTTCTGCCATGAAATTTTTGACGTTATAAATTGCAAGATCTAACTAACCGCGTCAACAGGAACACTTTTTAGACTAACAACGCTACATATATCGTAGTTCGACAAACATTTAACCAGCAACACCTTCTATGATTGAATCGTGTCCGCCCAGTAATATCAAAAGACAGAAGCGAGGAGGTTGGAAGATATATTTGATAGGTTATCAATATATCGGGAAGTGACTGATCTAAACCGGCCAGTGATCGCAGAAGTTGAACACGGAGTTCCCACTCGTGATCCGGTGTGGATGCATGACCGAGCACCTTCAGCTAGGTGAGTTCATTAAAACTAATGTGGTCAACATCCAATGTCGAAGACTGACAGAGACATTGATTTTAGGGATTTATTTACCGCTACAGACCACACACCCCATAGTGAGGTAGTGATGACCCTACGACGTGACCAGCCAGATGTCGTTGGTAACCACTCTTCTGATAGCTTACTATGTTTAGCAGCGTCTGGTCGTCTTTCCTTACTATAAGGAACCAAGAAGTACAATATAGTAACAGGGAAACAAAGCACAATGGAAATTTCGGTTCCTTGCAAACTTCATCATTCTTTTTGTCGTCTTTTCCAGCCATCCTGGAAAACAAAAGAGGAATATGCAAGTGCGTGTCGAAATACAAACGTACGCGCGTAAAGACAAGGTTGGCCAAAAAAGTTACACCTGTGATAGCGTAAAAGCGAGTTTTAAAGTACTTTTTCTTCGGTTTGTTTTCAGTAAAAAATTAAATATACACATACTAAGAAAAAATTTGTTTTTTTGGAATAAAACGTTTAAGTATAATGAGATTAGATTTTTATTATATATAATACAAAGGAAAATGGAGGTGAAAGAAATTGTTAACTGTTGTCTTACGTGCACTAATCGTCTAAATGTTCTGGAAATCGTACTCTTCTTCCACAACGCGTTGTCCTAGGTTTATTTTCAGATGATGCCGAAGTATCAACGTGATGAAGAGGATGTGATCACTTGGACTGAAACATCATTTCAAATAAGGGCAAATCTTAGTGAGAAAAAGTGAGAGCATAATCAAGTGTTCGTTTTTTGACATGCGATTTCGATGCTGGAAGTTGGCTAACCAGGATTTCGCTGGAATCTTCTCGTCGTCTCTCATTTAAAGTAAACCATACTGGTAGTTGTAGCATGCTTTTGATTAGATCACTGAACAAAATCTTTTATGAGCTAAGTTACGGTTTGAAACAGACAAATCTTTTAACAATTATTATATGATAACGGGAAATATAATCTACGTGCATAGTGAAAGTGTTAACAAATACTTGAGCTGTAATGTTTCGACATTACCATGATAAATTCGATTAACCTTTCACCACTTAACTCAGTCAGTCGGCTACAACGTAGGATCAGGCATATATATGTGTCAGTCCATGTCACCATACCTCATTAGCACAACAAGATGAACAACAAATTCAAAGAAGCAGTTACTCCAATGGTAGTGAAAAAACATTTCATGTAGAGATATGATGCAGGGAAAAATAATTAGTTCGTAGAAAGTAGGGTATGAGTAATTTTAATCTCACGGCTTAAGAAAAGACAAAGTGTATACACCTACGTCATTGTGATCGATTCTGAGCCATGTCGTCCAGAGTCTCCGACCATCGGTTATGATAGTCGCGCGTACCGCACAAGTACTCTGCATCCACCAACATGTCTCAAACCACGCCGTGACCTTGAGTTGAGTCAAACAACCTTATTAGCAATGGTCTGGCAATATGCAACTGAAAATTAAGTAATAGAAGATACATCTTTAGCCAGGATAAAATAGGAAATGCCTCGACAAACTTTTAGGAAGAATACGACGAATGTATACAGTTTTATTATCCATGAAAAATTTACAGATCATTTGACAGATTTCGAAACCCAAATGCTATGGTGACTGAACTGATACCTGAAATTACATACTCAGGTTCCATGTTCACGCCAATAACGTATGTTGAAGAAATCGAAAATATGTATTAAGCAGTGCAACCTTGGACTAAACAATTACTGTTGTGACACAGTGAAAGTTGAAATTTCGACATTTAACAGTTGAATTCTTGATTCAGTCCAAGCTAGACCACCAATGAACTTGAAATCTGACATTCTGCCCAGTGGTCATGAGTATTCACAATCGGAAGGTCTGTTAAGCGCAAATCAGAATATTAGTTACTCTCGTTCTCGTAGAAACACAAAAATCCGTCCGATAAAGATTTTTGAGCCGTCATATAAATGTGAGGGCAAGCCTAGTAAGTATTTATCTCGTTGTAAACTTTGTTCTCCAATATCGTATGTACTTACCTGTCACGAAATGTTTAACCGTGACTGAACCGAGCGTATCAAATAAGTATGAAAGAGAAAGAAAACGCTGAGAATTCCACCACAGCATTTCATTGGGCAGTGTTATCATTTATTTGTTCCTCCCCCTGTTTTGTATTTTGGCTTTTGTTCAGGTCTCTTGTTACCTATACTTTGTGTTCTTTCGTCTTCCTCGTCCAGGCATTTCCTATTTCATCCTGGCTAAAGATGCATCTTCTACAACTTAATTTGACGTTGCATATTGCCGGACCATCGCTAAGAAGGTTGTGTTTGATTCAACTCAAGGTCACGGCGCGGTTTAGTGTATGACTGTTAACCTTTGACTCACCGGAGTCTTTGCGGATAGATATCTGATCCCATCTTGTTGAGAATATTTTTATTGATTCCCAGGTTTTAAACTCTTGTTTATCAACTATTCCTTTTTCCCTTTAGCACGTCATTTTGCGCTGAAAACACCTTCGATTGTATAGCACAAGAAGTACATTTTGAGGTATTTTGTACTTTTGATATATTTTTTTTTCTCGAATTGCAGCCGTTCAAATTGAACACGGAGTTTATGTTTTCATACAACATAATAGGAGTCATCTAAAAACGCTTGGTAGGCCATAATGAGGAACGTACTCAAGCCCAGTCTAACAAACTTCTGTTCGTTAGTTCTGCATTCGAAGCGAATATTGGTACTTCAGTCGTTACACTCACTTGGATAGTTAAACCAAGATACTCAGAGAATAATGATATCCCTAGAACAAGCAAAATACTTCAACGTCGATCACTTAAGGCAATACATTCAATGTCCCTAAACTAAGATGGTGAAGAAAAACGATGAAAGCTTCACGACCAAACCATCCAGCGCAGGGAAGGAAACTCCATCAACGTGTGTGAGACTAGTGCTTGCTCCGCCGTTAGTATTACTCAACATTGACCTTCAGGTCTAATTAATATAGGTGGATTTAATGGTCAGGGAATGTCACAACCTTCAGTTTTCAACTGTGCTTTCCATACTCAGAAGTGGTTACACACCTCCACTCATTCAATAAAAGATCCCATTGTTGAAACTGACAGTATGGAACGTGATAAGGACTTTATGGCAATAAAGGAATGAGCATTTAACAAAGAACTTATACTTACCCGTCGATATATCACTTCAAGAACATTCTGCTACACTTGACATAAAGTGCTTGTACGCTCCACGGAAATATGCTGCCGATGGTCCAGATAGATTGTGATCTCCGCCTTGTGAACACAGGGAACTCAGATCTCAGCCCAAAATACAGGGGCAATGAGGTTAAGGCAAATGCAGCTTTTCATTTAATGTGTAGATGATTTGGAGCAATCACACTAGAGTTTTTCAACCTTTTGAAACATGCTCACGGCCCTTCTCTGAAGTCCACAATGTCTTTTCGCCTCCTTTCTTCCAAATGAACATAAATTCCTCGGATAAACTACAGAGACAGGCAACTAAGTGAGTGATAGAGCTAAAACATAAATCTAACGACACATAAGATTATCCCTACTGACTTCCAGGAGAATATGAGATGAGATGATAATGACATGTAAAACATTGGGTACGTAAAGCCACCCAAAAACGATCATTTCGCTATAGTATCATCACCGAGCTCCTCGAGAAAACCTTCGATAGATTTTCAACAGTCTTGGTTAGATGGTGGGGTTAGACGCGAGGTAAATCAGTCAATGAGGTTGTGAATATACATCGAATGAGGTGGTTGCACTGCGCATTACGCATGTTCAACCACCAAATACTGCGTCGCTCACTGATGACTAGTGTTGGAGATGGATGGAAGAAAGTTAAAGGCAGCAAAACCAGAATGAAGCATCAGTCCACAAAGTCACCAACTTCTGGTTTGAGACATGTTGGTGGATGCAGAGTACTTGTGCGGTACGCGCGACTATCATAACCGATGGTCGGAGACTCTGGACGACATGGCTCAGAATCGATCACAATGACGTAGGTGTATACACTTTGTCTTTTCTTAAGCCGTGAGATTAAAATTACTCATACCCTACTTTCTACGAACTAATTATTTTTCCCTGCATCATATCTCTACATGAAATGTTTTTTCACTACCATTGGAGTAACTGCTTCTTTGAATTTGTTGTTCATCTTGTTGTGCTAATGAGGTATGGTGACATGGACTGACACATATATATGCCTGATCCTACGTTGTAGCCGACTGACTGAGTTAAGTGGTGAAAGGTTAATCGAATTTATCATGGTAATGTCGAAACATTACAGCTCAAGTATTTGTTAACACTTTCACTATGCACGTAGATTATATTTCCCGTTATCATATAATAATTGTTAAAAGATTTGTCTGTTTCAAACCGTAACTTAGCTCATAAAAGATTTTGTTCAGTGATCTAATCAAAAGCATGCTACAACTACCAGTATGGTTTACTTTAAATGAGAGACGACGAGAAGATTCCAGCGAAATCCTGGTTAGCCAACTTCCAGCATCGAAATCGCATGTCAAAAAACGAACACTTGATTATGCTCTCACTTTTTCTCACTAAGATTTGCCCTTATTTGAAATGATGTTTCAGTCCAAGTGATCACATCCTCTTCATCACGTTGATACTTCGGCATCATCTGAAAATAAACCTAGGACAACGCGTTGTGGAAGAAGAGTACGATTTCCAGAACATTTAGACGATTAGTGCACGTAAGACAACAGTTAACAATTTCTTTCACCTCCATTTTCCTTTGTATTATATATAATAAAAATCTAATCTCATTATACTTAAACGTTTTATTCCAAAAAAACAAATTTTTTCTTAGTATGTGTATATTTAATTTTTTACTGAAAACAAACCGAAGAAAAAGTACTTTAAAACTCGCTTTTACGCTATCACAGGTGTAACTTTTTTGGCCAACCTTGTCTTTACGCGCGTACGTTTGTATTTCGACACGCACTTGCATATTCCTCTTTTGTTTTCCAGGATGGCTGGAAAAGACGACAAAAAGAATGATGAAGTTTGCAAGGAACCGAAATTTCCATTGTGCTTTGTTTCCCTGTTACTATATTGTACTTCTTGGTTCCTTATAGTAAGGAAAGACGACCAGACGCTGCTAAACATAGTAAGCTATCAGAAGAGTGGTTACCAACGACATCTGGCTGGTCACGTCGTAGGGTCATCACTACCTCACTATGGGGTGTGTGGTCTGTAGCGGTAAATAAATCCCTAAAATCAATGTCTCTGTCAGTCTTCGACATTGGATGTTGACCACATTAGTTTTAATGAACTCACCTAGCTGAAGGTGCTCGGTCATGCATCCACACCGGATCACGAGTGGGAACTCCGTGTTCAACTTCTGCGATCACTGGCCGGTTTAGATCAGTCACTTCCCGATATATTGATAACCTATCAAATATATCTTCCAACCTCCTCGCTTCTGTCTTTTGATATTACTGGGCGGACACGATTCAATCATAGAAGGTGTTGCTGGTTAAATGTTTGTCGAACTACGATATATGTAGCGTTGTTAGTCTAAAAAGTGTTCCTGTTGACGCGGTTAGTTAGATCTTGCAATTTATAACGTCAAAAATTTCATGGCAGAACACCATCCGTCTTATTAGTGCAAAGGAAAGGTAAGAGTGGTTTGGTGTTCTATTCTCGTTCACTTGGTGGACGCGCGTGAATAGGTTGACCTGAATAAAGCTTTTAAGGTTACTTACCGCGTCCCATAGAGTTCGCCTTATGGTCTACGAGTTCGTTTTTTACATGTTGCTAAAGCTATCGGAATCCATGTTCACAAACCAATCCTTTGTATCCCAAATAGGTTTATACAACCACTCTCACTACCTTAGCCATTGATATAGGAGTGAATTTGTAGCTGAACTTTGTTGGAAACCTTTCCTTCAAAAATATCTAAACTATCTTGTAATTTCTTCCACTCTTATATTTTTACGTATTCCCAATATTCGTCCCTTGATTCTTACATGACCACTATAACACTGACCTTTCATCGAGATATTTTGTCAGTCCCTCCTTTTTGTATACTGTGCAACGTAGCAGCTGTTTGAACTTCCGAATAATTACTTCGATTATTATAATCCTCTTTTTTCCAACCACTCGATATTATTTTATAACAAATGTGCAATTATATAATCATGACGTGAAGCAATTACCCGATGGGTATTACTTCATTGTTGCAAATTATACATATTTACATATATTAGTGTAAAGCCATGATGAAGTGTTCTGGTAGTCACGTATGGACCAGAATTCAAGCCAGAAAGAAATCAACGAACGTACATGAGCGTGTTTTATTTGGAATTCAAATCAGGCTCAGAATAATGTGCAAAGCAATTCATAAATAACACACAAGTTACACTTCCCAGACGATTTATCGAGGTCTTACCATCAATCCTCTGTGACAGTCGGAAACACATGAAAACGGTCGTCGTTCTTCTGTTCCAATTATTTCGAATGCCTTTTAGATTGAGAAATGTATCTTAGTCGTTTGAGCGACTTGTGGGTGCAAACAGTACAGAATTTAACTTTATTTCGTGTATATGGACGATGTTATCACAGCCGACGTTTTTTTAGATGAATGCCCTCAATACCTTCACTCATTACTTGAACCTTCTCAGTCCTGTAGTCTGGTGATAAACCCTACAAAATGTGTTTTCAGAGTCTCTACATTTTACTACCTTGGACACTACATTAACCTCCGTGAGGTGAAGTAAATTTAAGAGGAGGTTAAAGAAGTAAAACAACAACCGGTTACCACTCCGTTGAAGGAACCAAAAGGTTGACATGGATTGTAATGTTTCTATCCAAACCTCATTCCAAATCCTACATCTCCATTATAAACATCCACTGATTTCCTGTAGTGTGCAATTAGCGTTACAAAGTGGCGAAACTTTAATAAAACTTCAACAATTCTATAAAGTTTACTCCAGTTTTGCCAATTGTCATTGGACCATCGTATTGCAACTACACAACGTTTGACAAACGTGTTTAATTCCTAGAGTCTGAAGGGAGCGCATACAGCTCTGTGGGCATTTTCAATGCGGTCGTCGCCGATATAATGTGAAAAAAATGATCACTGATAAAAGATTTACACAAAACCAATATTTTATTGGTTGAAATATTATTTGCACAGCACAAAGTTATGGACGGAAGTAGAGGGCTCTGAGGCTAGAAAGAGTCCTTGTCTTTGGTATCTCAAGTAGTCATCCTTATTCCCGTCTTTATCCTTAATATATGTCAGTGACATTTCTTCTGCACTCAACGGGGGAGTCAGATTGCCTACCTATATTTACCATCACTCTTCCAACGGTTCAACGCAGTTTGACCCAAGCGTTTTGCTGACATTAATGCCGATCGCGAGCGGTAACCATCAGGGAGACCCAACTAAATTCTACACAATCACCCACTCCTTTCAAAGACAGTTAGGCACATTGACGTCTGACCTGTTCTTAACATTACTTGGAGCTCATGTCCGGCCAAGCCCTCAAACCTGTAACATTATTTAAGTTTTTCTCCTTAAGAAAGTCTGGAATCTCCTGAAACGAGAGTAGAGACGTGAGGCAAAACATTTTACATGATCGAAAGGCAAATCGCATGAAGATTGATCTCATCAAGTAGAGCTATTTCGCCCCAGCTATAAAAAAACGAGGAAGGGTGGGATCATAGTATAGAACATCCTGGGTGGTTTAGGTTACCCCATAAAATGTGCTTGTACTCGAAGGGATTAAAGTAATTTGCGAGGTGGCCTTTGAAGAATCGGCTATCAAAAACTGAATGCTCGGATGTGATCTCAATTCTTCGTAGTGTAAGTTTGTTTCGTGTATGACATCCCCCTAACCGACGTGATTGGGAGTCATTCGGCCGATTTTTTTCGAGAGGAGTGAGCAATCAAGTAAGCCTTACACATCTATCCATTCGTGCCTCCACACATATATACATACATGCTCAAATACACAGCTAAATGAATATGTAAATAAACAACTACGTTCGTTCATTCATACACACATGCGCATATACATATATACATACAGACTTACACACACGCACATACATAGACACATACGTATATTGACGCGTGTTACATGCAAAGACAAAATTTAGATTTACCTCTACGGCACTACACTATTACACTCGTTGGTCCCAGTACCTTTTTAATATTATGTTACTTTCTTACTTTAGCATTTTTTCTGGTTTCACTAATCATTATTGCAAATTATTCACTTGTCTTCATCAATCTATTTATTTGTTTTGTAAGTTTCGTCTTCTATTTACGTCTGTTCGTTATTCTCATTTTGATCAAAAAACTTTTGTTGCAACCAACCAAATGACCAGCATGTGATATTAAAGATGCCAGTAATAGTGACCTCACCATTTCCGGAACACATATTTCCACCTACCGTCAAAATATACCGACCTCCAAAAACTGTCAAATTTACTACGACTAATGCAGTTGGGTGGGTGGAGCATCTTCACTAGATGCTACCAAACATAAAAAACCACCCCTTAACATTAAAGCGGAAGTAAAAAATAGCTATTCGACTCATATTCGCTTCTTACGAGCATGTTGTCCATTGAACTTCGGTTTCTATGACACCGGCCCCAGTAGTTTTGAAAATCTCTTGAAGGTAGTTTGATGTCAGTTACCACATTTTTTCTGATTTTGATGTAATGAAATAAGCGATCACTACAGAATACTCTGTAACATTGTCATCCATTCGTTAAAATAATTATTATGTAGACTTTATATCGTATCTCCTTTCCAAACCTGTAGAAATTGCTAGATTTTTTCATTAGTAACGTTATTTATGATTTAGTTTGTGCATTCTTCAGTGTCGAACAGTACAAACCCTTAGATTTTGGTTTGGTAATTCGTGCTTATTTCTTATTTTGGTCCTACGCATCGTTCTCCACAGTATAATGTACGTCATTGCTTCTAGTCAGTGATCATATCTAGAAGTATGTACAAAATGTGTATTGGATGACGTAAATATTTCACATAAGCATGCACGTGGAATTATTCCTACAAAGCATGCAAATATGTATACTACAACCACTTACATTTTCATTACCAACTCTTAAAGCTTATCATAAATGTATACAACAAACGGTGATTTACAGTTGATGGTAAGGGTTAGAGCTTAGATTTATCATTTCAATCACGAAATGACATCAGCTAAAATGTAAAAACGCTATTTAGACAAATAAGTGAGTGAATTTCGCGCCAAAATCAAAAACCTGTTATCCTAAATCTGATTGGTTCGTCCGCAGGTTACAGTCTCGCCCGAAATTCTCATAAATGTTTGATTGGATAGACATCATCATTTGTCGCTTGTTAGACGATGAATCACACGATATTTTTGATTTAAGGACAGAAGACAAAATGGCTTTACTGGCTTTTTATGACATATTGTTTTGCACGTCTACTCACTTTTGCTTACTGACCAAAATCAAGTCGGGCGAACGGCAATAGTGAAATCGAGACGGACACCCTTCGGGGAAAGTTAATGGAACTCTTGGTGAAAATGCATCAGAAAGTTGTCTCTTTCATCTGTTCCGCGGAGATTGGGACTTTTGCCTAAATATATCTCTTGATGAGTCTTGTGTCGGAACTTTGCTCCCAACAAGAGTAACCTACTTTTCTCCTAAATATCTGCGTTCGTTATCAATTTCACACGGAAGTTAACTCTAAAGTAGTTCAGCCAATTGAGGAGGTTGATTTGTGTGTAATAAGTCACTTAAATTCGAAAATTTAGACCACGACTTACAAAAATATTGACAACATTAGGATCTCAGTCGTGTGCCTCTGCTGTCGCCATAAACTATCACAACCACCGATTGAATTCTAAAGTGGAATAAGAATTAGTAGTTAGTCCTGGGTCCCCCTTAAATTATTTACCGATAATACGTACAAGCGTTAGATGAGACTTACTATTGTGTTTAATAGAACAAACCGCTGTTGTTAGAAAATCCTGAAAGCAGTCGTATTTTCAGGTCGTTACGTACATACCACCCCTTCTGGAATAAGAATTATTCGATCTTTCTCTTACATCATTAAGGAATCTTTTCGATGTAATATCGTGAATCTTTTCAAGATCTTCAGATAGAATGGATGATTGAAATTCCAAAGCTACTGAGCTTAGTGAATAATGACCATCAAAAACAGTTTTACTCCCCGAACTTTAGCAAACTCGACGCTTGTGAATATCCCTTTCGGTGGTAACCCAAAGGAGTGTGAATTTGGCACCCATTTACGGCTGTATAACATACGCCGGAACAAACAGAAGAAGTGTCTTCGAACTGCCAGTCGGCAGTTCGATGGCCTTTGCCATTTGAGATGAAGATAAATTACCGTAAAAAGTTCGTGGCCATACAGGTTTGTCTCTGATGTTTTCACCTTAAGGACATGTATCCGTGATATCTAGATTCTCTTTAGTTTACAGTCACATATCGGTTTCGAGCTTCCTTGATATGCCATAATTGTCTTATATACAATAGTAATATTTGGGCAAGACCGTTTTAGCTAGTAATTACAGTTTCATAACGATAGGGGGAGGTTTTAACGATAACACTGTTAAACTTTTACAGAACGTTTCTGACCTACTTAAGTTCTGGCGGTCAGGTAGTATCATCAGCCCTCACAGTTAGAGTGTGGCTCATACTGAAGTGCCTGGTGAGTGAGTTGATATTATATTATATCAGCCGATTTTTTTCAAAGGCATAAATAGCTAAATTGTCATCAATTAAGCCCACAAATTGATGTTTTATGCTCAATAAGTAACGAATTTTAAAGAAGATACGTCATACTTTCAAGTAAGATAGATCTAATGTGACGTTCTAAGATGTTAATATGTACACCGCTGCAATGTTGCTAATGGGCTTTATTCAAACAGAGGATTCCATAATGTTTGAATAATATCGCTCCTGCTTTAGATAGTAAAGAAGAAGAGAACTAAAGAAAGTAATAGAATGACAAAATAGAATAAGAGACATGGGAAAGTAGGGAGATAATGACATACCTGGTGAAATATTAAGCTTTAAAAAGAGATATGTAACGTAACAACTAATCTAAGCCACTATCACATGAGGTGTTAACTAGTTTATCTGACCATTGTTCTCAGTTATATGGCAAGAAACTTGTACAATAAGAAACTTCATTTCCAACGAATGTATTTTTAACAGAAGAACGGGATTTTGAGCTAGTTAACACGTGTGTAATTTTGGTTGGGTCAGGTTTTCGTTAGCTGTTTACAGTCTGTGGTATCTGAAGGTCAGAAATACAAGGTGGATTAGAAACACTTAGGCAAATGAATTTCGTTGTGAGGTGTTGTGGACACATACCAGCACAGTATAGCAGAGATGTAATTGAATCAACGAAGTAGATAAAATATTGCGAATATATATCATATTCAGATAGAAACTTTAAAATATTGATAGCAATAATAAATTAAAGGGTTAAGGATAAACAGTTATATAGTGAGAAGATACTAATAATAATTCAGGAAGAATTGGGTAAATCCCAGTTAAAACTAAAACTATTGAATTAGAACAGATTGGAAAAAATGACTCGATAGTATAACTGATTGCGATACAATTCAAAAGGGTTTTATAATACTAAGAACTATTTTATGTTAATTAGGCTAGAGAAACTTAACTACTGTCTTTTTTTAAACGTATAATTCAAGTTTTCCGGCCCGGTATCGTCAAATTCTCATGCCTTTTACTGTATTCTATTATTTTGATGGTGGATTCATGTTAAAGCTCATGAATAATGTTATCCTTCTAACCACCGTGTCTCAAACAATGCTTACATTCTCTAGTGAAGATGGAGTACGGTTTGATGTGTAATGAAACCTCAGTTAGAATAATTACTTTGTTTCGGGTCTCAGCATTTTGTTCAATGACTGTTACAATGGTGCGATGTATGCAGAAGAACGCGTTCGATAAGGCTTACCTACAAACTAGCCAGAAGCGTTCGCTACAACTTTAGACCTTTGATTCGTTTGGTACTGTTTCCTCCATTTTCTTTGCGCTTATGGGTTTTAGTAGCTTGACTTAACAAACATTATTGCTAGATCCTGGAGTTACTGACTCATCATAACCCTGACTTCCAGTTTACATCCCTAAAAGTTTGTGTCAACACAGACTCCTCCCCATTTTCTAGATTCATTCCTTTTGCAGTGTTAGGAGCCATACAGCCAGTTAATGGACCGTTGTGATAGATAAAATGTCATTCTCTTGAAAATCGGTTATCATGTTTTGAAACATTTTGAAGTTAAACGAAAACTCTACCTTGCACAGCAAAAATAAAAACCATCACAACACATATAAGGACTTATAGGTTCTCAAATTACTTTCTAAACCGTTGGGTTTATAGAAGTCCAACTGACCACCTTTAGCAATAATAAGAGCATATTTGGGATGTGCCCCTCTCTATCTAAATACGAAGCGTTATCTCGGGACCTGTGTGTGTCAGCACCTAAATTAGTAATAGGGAGTGAAGTAGTTGAACTTATCGTCAACTTCATCTATCTTGAAAGTCTGATTAGCCCTGTTGGGTTGTTGTCTGTCAGAATCTCGAAATAAATTCAGAAGGCCAGGTTGGCTTTTGGTAACTTGGATCGCTCGTGCCTTAGATAAGGTGTCTGTTTGGCAACCGAAGGATAAGTTTGCTATGCACAAGTTCATCTTATCTTTCTTCATGACTACGAAGCTCCCCTTAAAAACAAACGATATTTGTAGGTTGCTAGGACCCGATCATTGGTGTCTTCGAAGCATCGCTAGTGTATTTTAGCACTACTGATTGAGCGACGTTAAGGTTAGGGATAGGATACCAAGTGAATATGGCATTGATTGGTGAGTTGGTGAATATTCACCAACCGAGTTGGTTGGGACCTGCGTTACATGTGGCCAACCACCGGCTGCTTCTACAGGCGATGCAGGCTGGGAGATTACTAGGGACTGCCAAGTCAATACTTCTGGTCTGATTGGTGTGTGAAGGAGCCCAGTGCATTTAGTTTGAACAAATATCTTAAAAGAACTACCAAGTGATTTTGGCATTTTATTTCTTTAAAAAGACATATTGATTGAGCTAAATCCTGTTTTCGTGTGTTTTTTAGTATTCTAAAAGTTCTGCCCTCTTTTGTATTTTAAAACATTAAGACCGTACATTATTCTAAATGTCATTTTAGGCCTTCAAGTTACACGACTTATTTCACACGACAAGAAAACCGACATCGAACTTAGTAAAAATATCCCCAATTTTAGAAATGGCTAGGGAAAATTCTCCATATATTCATATTGAAAGAACACTCTTAATTATTAAGCCGGATATTATTAATTATGCAGATAAAATAGAAGAACTTATCTTACAAAAAGGATTCTTGATAATACAGGTAAATATCGATTCCCCAGAATTTATAACTAAAATTAATGCATTTGATAGAAGAGACGCGTTCATTTGACACCAGAACAGGCAAGTGAATTCTATGCAGAACATTACGGGAAAATATTTTATGCAACATTAATTGCTTACATTAGCAGTGGTCCGATAGAAGTATTAGTCATAGCTAGAGAAAATGCTATATCTATTCTTCGTGAACTAATTGGTCCACAAAATGCATTTAAAGCTAAGGCGACCGCACCTGAAAGGTTAACTTACTAACATGAAACTTGAACATTCTTATTGAATATTTTTTGTCTAGTTTAAGAGCTATTTATGGTACAGATGATCAACAGAATGGAATACATGCAAGCGACTCGTTTACAAGTGCTGAAAAGGAAATTAGGTTCTTCTTCCCAGATAGTAAGTAGCTTGAATGAAGTTTTGTATTTCTTTCTCACAAATCTCACCAAACCCTTCATACTACTAATAATTATATTCTTACTGAAACTAACTTTGAGGCGATTTTCGGAGATCCAGTGAGAATCTATGACTGATGGAATTGGACCTTGTCGATAATGAGATAAGCACCATTGATAGTCACTCGATATTGGAGAGTGGCTTGGGTTGAAAACATGAATCCCTCGATGGCAGTTCAGTAGTCTGAAGTCGGGGCGTTTCTGACGAGAACTGGAGGCTCTATGTTTGACCCCTGGTAAGATCGGCTAAAGAAGCTGACGAGGAGTCCCAGATTAGAATGCAATGCCACTCCAGTGATTTCCGATTTTTAACAGCTTCCTAGCTAAATCTAGCACCTGATATTAAATATAAACTATTTTTACGTTATGCTTACGTGGCGCCAAAGAATCACTCAAAAGCTAACTTTAGTTCGTCATTTTGCCTTAAAATTGACATAATCCCATTGACTTTTTGTTTACATTTCAATTTATGTACAGTTCACCCACTTTTACAGCAAGAGAAATAGTTACAGGCTACGTCATTTGTGCATTTGTAAGGAAAACCTTAGTTTAAGATAAGAATGCCAAGATAACTCAAACTAGCTTTGAAACAATGGAGGGTTGATGACAATATGCCTTGAATGGTCAAAGTTGACCGAGTTTATCAACAGGAAACTGAAGCTATATTGATGCGTACTGGTTTTTATCCATCATAAAAGTTCAAAATATCTTGAATAGAAAATTTGCGTGAATTATATGACTAACTAACATACTGATCCACGATTCTCAGACTGTAAGACGGTTCTCTCAGTATAAAATAAAATCCCGTGAAACCCGAATTTTGTAGTAAAAATCTACTTTTTCTTGTAGCACATGTGTATCGATAAGTTTATTTGAAGTTAATGAAATTTATAAAGCCGTCTACAAAACTCGATACTAGGCGTCAAATCTACCTTTGGTAGCCACGTCAGTACTTCTCAGATGATAAAGTCAATCAAATATGTAATACAGCCAACATACCTGAAGATTTCACTCCCCACTTTTGAACTAGATTTCAGTGCGGAACCATCATTTTACTGCTAGTTTGTATGAACGTACGGGGTCTAAACCACCTAAAACATGGAAACAGAAGGCTTTGGGAAGAGTACTTTCAAGAATACAACAGGTAGATTGACTAATCAAAATAATTCAAACTTAAAATATATGTCTAAACAAAGTCTTCATATTTTTGAAATTGTGTGGGTACTTTTTCTCGCTCAACGTAATGTTCTTATTATTGAAATTACTCATTTATTTAGTGGTCGTTGCACCGATTTCCGTTAGGCTTGCAGCAAAAGACTATTTAGTTCGGAATGTAAACCCAACTTTACTAAAAGGCTTGATAGAACTATGCAAACAAAAGCCTAAGGATCCAGTAGTAAGTTGATATTTCTTGTCGTCTGTGCTTATTGATTTTTCCGAAGGTATTTTCGAACCCACATGATAGTATGTAATAAATACAGGCTTATAAAATTCTCACGTTTTTAAATGAACTTGGGCTTCTTTGTTGGAAGCTTTAATTTCTTACCGTTGATTTACTAGACTGACTTAATTAATCATCGAAACGTTTTTGTAATATTGAAATGCATTGATTTGGAAGTTTACTTTTATTCCGGTATAGACTCAATAAACACTAGGATGGAGTATGTATCTATTTAATGAACTCTAAACATCTTAGGATTTAAATCCTTAGTTCCAACAATGACCATCATTAAAGTAAAAGTTCGGATAAAATAATTGTAGTACTTGTAGTGGCAAAATTGAATCTGAAAAGTAAGGCAAACCGGGACTGCCACAACTACATTGGGTATGGTACTCTCATTTTGTAGGTAAAAAACGATTTCGCGTTTAAAACTAAGAGTGCTTGTAAAGAATTAATAGATGACACAATTCTTTTTTGTTTAAAAATTAGGCATTCAATAATATCACATTGATCTTTGACATTAATGTAATGAACGAGGCCGTCAAGTCGTCAAAAACAATTCACGGATAAGATTACCTTACTGTTATTAAGTTTTATATGAATATCAAACCTCAATGGTGTTTTATAAGCTCAGTTAAATGGCAAGTCAATGAGCTACTGGGATGCCATACTTTGTTTAGACGCATGGTGACATCTTTTATCTGTGCATCGATGTTTCAGTGTAATTATATTTTGACATATTGGGCGACTTCTTACTTACATAATGATTTTGCGCTTGTGAGTATCTCAATGACTCAGAGAAATCATATTCTGCTGCCAAATAAAAACACAGCTCTCCACAAAGTTCACTAATTTCATATGTAACTTCGGTAAAATATTTCCGTCCATCTATAATTTTGTAAATTAAAATATCCCAATGATAAAGAAATATCAAATCGCTCTGAACATTTTTCAACTAGGTTTCTTTCATTAGCTTTCCAATTACCATATAACTGAGATTGATACCCTATACTATTTTGATCATTTCTTCCAAATAAATAAAAATTTCAGTTATTAATTGAGATTCATTTTAACGCTGTTAAGCCACAGGATATAGATGTTAATTCCACAAAAATTGACTAATATTACTCAACGTCTCCTCAACCTTCATGTACATAAGATACTTGAGAATTTAAACATTTGACATTGAATGATTTTTATTGATAACAAATACTTGTGTTTGATTTTCTGATTGCCTAGCTTTGGCTGGCCGACTGGCTGCTGGAAAATAATCCAAATAAACCTCATCCCATCGACATGGTCACCTCTTGAAACACTAATAAGAAAATTTCAAAGAACGTATGAAGGATGATGAGGATACAGAGTTTCCAAACAAACTTATAGTCATTGCTGAAAATAAATATGTAATTCAATTTGTAATGTTTCTTCATAGTAATGGATGTAAAGCGATAGTGGGTTATGGTCTGGCGTGAGGAATTCCGTGTTACCTGTAATGTATTTATGAATTGACGACTGGGCGAAAGCACATCATTGTTATTTAATTTATAAAAGAGTACCAGCAAATGAACACTTTGGAATCATTAAATAAACAATTTGCCAAAGCACTTTAACTTGCTAACATGTTCGGAAGTGTACATCTATGGATATAGTTAAACCATCTGTAAGCATTTTGAAATCTTACCCTAAATTGATTTTAATGTGGCTGAAGAATTCAGTGACATTTCCAGTCTTAGTATCAACCAGTTCAAAGGATGTGCTTGAGGTTATGAGACACTATTCATACGCCATTTGTTCCTTCAGAATCTTGAAGCCCGTGGGAACAGTTAGTTCAATATCAGGGTTTTTCAGCTTCCCCATGTGAACCCTCCATGTCCACCAACCCGGTTGAAGTGACGGACATTCGCTTTCCGTCCTCTCAATTTCGTAAACGGCACCCCATCTCGAGAAGGCAGTGAGTAAGACTTCCCAACCGGTGGTTGTATATGCGTGACTGTATGAAAGCATTTCGAGAGGGAAAGCTGACTCTCCTCACCCTCGGCCGTACCAAGGCATTTGGGGACGATTCATACTAACTACAATTGACATATATTAATCGAAAACTACTGAAAATCTATGACTGCTGGGTAGAGCTTCGAAATTATGTAAGTATACAAATATGTATAACTTAGTATTAAGAATCACATGTTGCAGTCATAACTGGATAGTTTGATATGCTTGATGCTATTTCGAGTTCACCTTACTCACTAAACGGTACAAAGGTCAGAGACACAGTGACACGATAGGCTACTTTAATCCGTTATCCCCAGCCTGCTATCTAGGTCAAGAAGTCTTGATGGGGCGTACAGAGTGTATTCTACAATCACCCAGAAATAGGCGGTCACCAAGTACACAAATCAAGCTTATTTATACAATGATAGAAACGCCCTTGAGAGAGTCACAAAATAGCGTACTAAAAAATAAGCCAACAAATGACAGTCAAGGAATTCCGAGTGGGAAATGTAAGCTGTACGTTAACTGAGCGTCTCTTAGCGCAAAAACATAAAACTCAAAATTTCAGGATAAAATTACAAAATTAGAACCTTTTCCGGGGATCTAAAGTCCTCAACAATTTTCAACACTGATCACGTGGTTGATAATGAAGGAAAATACTCTAATGTAACAGCAATGAACTCATAGATGCGAGAAATCTCTACTAGCAGTCATAATATTTACTCTGTTTGAGTTTATTAAATCAAATTTATTAAGAAGTTACGAAAGACAATACAAAATCAGTGAAAGTAAATATAATATTAAGCAGACAAAACACAATACTTTCATCCACACCTACAAGAAGGTTTTTCCTAAATAAATGCAAATTCATCAAATCAAGAAATTATAAAGCTATATCTTAAAAAGTATGCACTTGAAAACTGGAAGTGTATGAGAACAGTGTTCGGAGATATTACGAATATGAATGAAAAATCTATTTGTCGAATTAAACAATGATGTTGGTTCAGTGAAAACCACACTGCTTACATAGTACACATAAGGAAGGATAAAGTACTTCAATTCTCTTAGCCTCAGCTTCATTCCAGCCAAAATCTAATTCGAATAATCCGTCCGTTCTCATGATATCCACATAGAATAGGATATCTTTCAAACAGATAGGTCATAGAACTGACAAACAAGATCTGTGACATTTTTCATAGAAAGAAATAAGAAAATTACGTTGGAGTTTATCATATGAATGGCTGAATACCAGTTAAACTGTCCTCTAAAGTGTTCCACTCATCATTCGAAACGTGTGGGCTAAGAGCAGATAAGAGTCTCTTCTTTTTCCGTGATTGTCTCTCTTACACTTGACTTCTTAATTTAAGTTTCTTTTATCAGTGTGAAGAGTTGTCTGGTGTTACTTACTGCCGCTGCCTTTTCCATTTCTTTTGCTTTCGTTGCCCACCACCGCTCACAATCGTTCCGTAGACTTTTGGTTAACCTAGATCTGATTTGCTTTCACTCTTCATCGTGTTCAGAGGTCAAGTGAGTGACCACACTAGGAACCTCTACGTGTGTTTCTGAGACACAGCATACATCAATCGTACGAGAATCTAAGGTTTTAGCCAAGGAGGCCTGTTGACCATTTTGAAAGCTCCGTTGTGTAGTTTGGAGCGAGGTTTCAGTAGACCTGGGACAGTGTTTCGCGCACTGGAATAGCTGTCCATGGTGAAACTTGGGAAGGAAGCGGAAAGAGGACGCTTAGAGTTGAAAGTCGAGGTTGTAGGAATAGTGGGAAGTGAAGAAGGAGATTGATTATGAATACAGTGATCTTAAGTGCTGTTAGAGGTATGAGTGCAGTTAACACTTCTCGGTTGCCCACACCGTGGAAGGATTCTTCTAGAGGTACCTGAAAATGAAATTGGGTTAGAAGTGGTCTTAATGACCTGTGAGCGTGGCCGCATTGCCCAAGGGACAACTGCTTGAGGCCGGTCACGCACGACCTTTTTGTGGGTAGTTTTTGTGTTAGCTCCGTTCTTCAAAAAACCTTACCGCCGGAGACGGATATCCGTGGGATAAGGCGAGGTGTGCATTTTTAGAGTCGACCTTTTCTAACCCCACCCCTCCTTGTTTGAAGGCAGCATCGCTGTCATGCAGGTTGTCTGAAAGAAACACCTTACTGCTGTCACACCTCTGTACAGTAAGCCGTACGACTTCGCCCTCGAACCTTGGGTTTGCTGCTTTTAGTCGTACTGCTCTTCAACCGACCTGTCTGGCATGTTAGGACCTTGAGAAACGATTGTTCCAGTCAGTATAGCTCGATTGGTTCATCACGATAGGCAAGCCCGACCACCACGTCAAGGTAGCAACAATGGTCTGGGAATTCTTAATTACATACGAAGTAAGAACTTCAGTGAAGAAATATCTTCTTTCAACTCACTTTCAATCGTGATTTCATAATAATTCTTTCATTTTCATGATTGATGATAACAGCTGTACAAATAAACTGATGGCAAGCTTGTTGACTATGCAACAGAAATTTCAGAATTATATGTAAAAACAATAGCGAATTATTAAGGTTATCGGTAAGATATTAAGGTAAACATATTTATTATACTTAACTTTATAATTTAGTCAAAATTATTATGGAAAACTGACAAGCTACGTAATAACTAGTAAAATATTCGAAAATCTCATAAGAAGTAAAGTTTTGACGATCGGTAGTTACGAATAAAATGTTGAATATGAGCATTAGTTATGAAAGCGACAATAATTACAGTGTGAAAAAGTAGCATGTCATGTGTAAATCGTTCTTGTCATATGTTGTAAGGCGAAAGCAACAAGGGTGATTTTCCAAATCTCAGAGAAATAGAAATTTATATACCTTTTTTTAGTTAATGAATACGTAAATGGACAGCCGGTCTGTCGCTAAATAATGTTTAGGGTGGTTCTATGTAACATATAATTTATCTCCAGTCTTGTAACCAGTCTTTATTATCCTAAAGCAGAGTATTATCGTTACCGAAACCCGTTCATTTTATAAGCTAGTATATTTCTGGATACTTTATTCGGTCATAAATACGATTACCCACAGCTATGGAAATATTTTTATGAATGCTCGATGAATGGTTGAAAAACGATCTTCAACCTCGTAAATGAAATCCCTATTTTAAACTGCTTCAATACTTCATTAATGATGTACTTTGGCTGTAAACTTCAGGTATAAAGGAATGACTTCTTATCAATTTAGATTTTGGGAAGAATGTAGATCTTCAGGAGTAATTTCTTCTTGTAATTTCGCTTTGACAGAATATCATTTTCAGTTTGTGTAGTGGAATAATGGATCTTTTCTTACGAGCGCTATGCAGTATAGGCACTAGTTGTGTCACTTACAAAGCTACCCTCAAAGCAAGTGCTGGGTTTAGGATTGTGTTGGAGATGTTAGATCCTCAGGATTCACTTGGTAAATGCCTTATTTTTGTAATTCTATTTTAAAATTTGAATTTCCCGTTTTTGCGCCAAAAACACCCATTTTCCCCTTCATATCTGATTTCCCACTTGCGAGGTTGTTGAACGCTATTAGTTCGTTGTATCTTTTAGTATGCTATTTTGTTACGCTTCGCAAAGACACTTTTACGCTGTATATGAACGCTTAGGTTGTGCTTGTTGTTGTTCTTGTTTCTGGATGCTTGTGGAATATATGTTCCATCTCCTGAACTTGGACTTCTCTCTCTGGTTAACGGGGCTGGGACGCATCGGGATAGCTAACTTATTGGTCATCGTGTCACAGAATCTTCGTTCCCTCCTCAGATTAGGTGAAGTCGTAATCGCTTTAAACATAGCAAAGTTTGGCGACGAGACTGATGAAAACATGAATCCCTCAAAAGAAGAATTCTTGCTTGAGCACCAGCTGAAACTTTTCCAGATTCTGGCAGATACAAGAATTGCGTCTAACACAATCAAGCACTTTTAATTCTACTATTATTTCACTTTCACTTGACGGTATTGCAAACAGTATCTCTGAATTTCATTACGATCCTGAGTTCAATGTCCTATTTGAAATGTGGTAACGGCATTATGAAGACTTATTCAAATTTGATTTTGCTAATGAAGATGACGCTTGGAAGGTCCGCTTGCTGCTTCAGAAGCTGGGTTCGAGTGAACCAGATAGATACTGTAACTTGATTCTGCTTCTGAACCCATGTGGCTCTCATTCTCGGACACCAGTCAGTAATTCAGCCAACAGTTCGTAGATAACTCTTCATTGTTCAACACACGCTATCGATGTTTGAAGATGACGAACGAAGACGTCGATTTTCTGACACATGTGGGCATCATCGACCATGAATGATAAAGTTTCAGATTGAAGTCCCTGACTGAAGATCAGTTTAAAGCCCTCATTTTTATCTGCAGGCTCAAATCGCAAACGTTCAGTGACATCAGAACATTGTTGTTGTTTCGGTCAGACCAAGACCCTGAGTTGACTCCTAATGATATTGCGAGTGCATGTCAACGTCTAATTAACCCGTAACACGATACTACGATGGTTCAGCGTAGTGGCCTCGATCGCCCTGAAGTAAATGTAGTCTAACAACCATCCAACCCAGCTAAATCCACCCCAGCTATACCTAGTACGTCTCACTC